TGAACTTCTCTGGAAGTTGATGGTCTTTATCCACCATTCCAACAATCCTTCGTTGCAATCTTTGATGAATTGTTCTCTTTCGTCCACGTCCAGGGAGATCAGCTACAATGCCATGGGCTGTGAACCTCTTGACAATGTTGTGCACAGTGGACACAGGAACAATAAAGGAGAACTACGGGGTTAAGTCTTTTCCCTATAATTCTCCTTAGGGTAACGGGAGGACACAAACTAGCGTCCTCCCGTCACCCTAGGCTCAGTATACCGCGAGCTACAGTTCGCAGTATACTGAGACGCCGCAGCTGAAGCGGATCCCGACAATTGTGCCGGGATCTGCCCAGCTGCGTGACTGACAGCTGGCTCTGCCTATCTAAAGGCAGAGCCAGCTGTACCCGCCCCCTCCCTTGTCCGTTCCGCCAGTCAGCGCTGGAGGATCGGAGCGGGGAGGGGGAAATCCAGCCCCTCCCCTGTCACGGCAGAGAGCCGTGACAAGATCGAGAGGTGAGCGAACGCCGGTATGTGTTCGCTCACCTCCCGATCTACTGAGCCGACCTGTGACAGTCTCATTGTCACAGGTCGGCTAGAACTATGAGGTGAGTGAAAAGCACTCACCTCATAGTTCTCCTCAAAGATCTTTGATGGACTTGTAACCTTGAGATTGTCCGTGCTTTTCCACAAATACTTGGAATGCAATTATTTCTTGCGATTTGGAGAAGGTGCCAATAATTTTGTCCAATCCATTTCTGGAGTTTTGCATGGAATATGTCATGTTTTTTCTCCACTTTTATGTGTCACACCAATACAAACAAAAGAAATAAACATGAGAATGCCTAAACATTTGTAATTGCAACCATTTTCTGCGCAAAGTGGGGCGTTATCTGACAGAAATGCCGGGGTGCCAATATAATTTGATACACCATGTAGTGGTGTCCGTGGAGTTTACATTGGTAGATGTAATCTTTGGGTTGGTAATTGTGAAGGTTTTTTTTGTTAGTACATGTAGTCAGGTCAGTTGATAAATATTGACTTTGTGTAATTGATTGTAGTGTTTGTTTTAGTATGTGCGCAGTTTGTGTTCTGGGTGAAGAGTTTGTTTTGGTGAATGTTGAGTTTATGATGGAAGATAAAGCATTAGCATTGAGTAATGCAAAGTTTGTATTGATAGATGAAGAATTTGGGTTGGCAAAGGGCAGCAGAGTGGCTTAGTGGTTAGCACTTCTGCCTTGCATCACCAGAAGTCCCCATTTCTGGTGGTCAGGACACTCTCTGCAAGGAGTTTGCATGTACTTCCTGTGCTTGGTGCGGGATTTCCTCCCACACTCCAAAAACATGCTGGAGGGTTAATTGGCCCTGTATGGTATGTATGCATCATATGGACCTTAGATTGTAAGCCCCTTGAGGGCGGGGACTGATAGGAATGTACAATATGTAAATATCAGGGAACCAGGTGTGCCACCTCTAACCAGGGTTTCCAGATACAGCATAGGGCACTGGGTCTCTTTCTTCCTAGCAGGACTCCTGGAGCCAGGGTTGCGGGTGCGCATGCGCAAAATGAACAGCGGGCGCGGTGGACAGATTGCGTGTGCGTTCACGGGGGCGCGTGCGCCCATTAGTGCTGTCAGGTGTTGACCTTGCTGGGGGAGGTTCCCAGCATACACCCTCCGCCCATTCCCTCGTGCTATTGGCTCCTGGAGAGAGAAGCCTTCTGGTTGTCCTGGCAACCAGGGGGTGGTGCTGGGTTCCCCTGGGTATAAATTCCAGTCAGAGCCCTGGCTTGTTGATGAGTTATTCTACCTCTATGGTGCAATCACTTAGCCTCTTGTGTTTGAAACTGCTGTCATTCCTGACCCCTCATCTGAATTCCCGGTTACTGACCCTTTGGCCTGCCTTTCCGTTTTTTGAACCTAGCCGTCTGACTCGACCCGGACTGGACTTGATTACGCTTTTTGGAATCTCCTCTTGCACCTCGATTTCGGACCTCCTTGTCATTCCTGCCAGTGGGTTCCACTCACGGCTCAGTCGTACCCCCTGACAGTAAAGCACTTCGTAAATTGTTGGCGCTATGTAAATACCTGTAATAAATAAAGGAAGTGTTTGGGAAGGCAATTTTACAATTGGTCAGAGCTGCGTAGACTGTTCACCTACTCTAGATTTACCCACACAACCTGTGTATTTATCCATAGTAATGCTTTATCTTCCAATGCAAACTTAGCATTTACCAAAACATACTCTTCACCCAAAATACAAACTGTGCACATACTAAGACAAACACTATAGTCAACAACACAATGTCAATAATAACTAAAGAATACATCAACTTTTCCTCTCCATTCACCATTACATTCTCTATTTTTAGCACCGGGAGCTCCACACCGCTAACCAGCTGCTCCATAGAGATTTAATACCTCCATCTACAGAGACCTTCCAGCTCTCCTCCAACATTATAAAACAGAATCTCCTCATCTGAGAGTGCACAATGGATTTCTTCATGCAGGTGGGTGACATCACATTCCTCATAGTGGGTGACATCGGGTCACAGACATATTCCCATCATTGAATGCATTTCCTCCTTTGTTTCTCTTATTCTTTGTGTAGGATTATTCTGACATTTTTTTAAATAACCCATTTTTTTCCCCAGTCCATGCAAATATTACTCTAAGGGCTCATGCACACTGTTGCAAGAGGGTCATACAGCATACATTCAGGCATATTTCTCCTCCCAGAAGTCACAGCTGCTGGCAGTACATGCATATGTAATATGTAATATGTCTTTCCCATCCCTTTTAGATTGTAAGCCCTCAGGGGCAGGGCCCTCCTTACCATCTTGTCTTGAATTGTATTGTGATTGTAATGTCTTCCTTATATTGTAAAGCGCTGCACAAACTGTTGGCGCTATATAAATCCTGTATAATAATAATATTTACACACGTGTAGTGTCAATGGATTTGTACAGTCTGGCTGGTTGCGGCTTTACCCTGCACCTATGGTTCCCAAGTGGAGAAATACGCCCGGATGTGCGCTGTACGGCCCTCTTGCGGTGGCGTGCGTGAGCCCTCCTCAGGAAGGTCCTCAGGCTCAGACTAGCTGTTAGGAAATCTAAAGGAGACCGTGTTTTTAATTTGTATTACCATAGAGCTTTTCTTTTTGGGGCTCGAGGTTGAGCCAGTTAACCTACCACCATGTCTTTGGAGTGTGGGAGGACACCAGAGTACCTGGCAGAGACCCAAGCAAGCATAGAAAGAACCTGTGAACTCCATGCAGATAATGTCCAGGTCAGGAGTCGAAAACAAGGACCCCAGTGCTACAAGGCATAAATACTAGTACGATCAGATTGCAACATGTGTAGCTAGCTTAATAATAAACTCTTTATATGTGTGTCTATATATATATACACACACAATATATTGCCAAAAGTATTGGGACGCCGGCCTTTACACGCACATGAACTTTAATGGCATCCCAGTCTTAGCCCGTAGGGTTCAGTATTGAGTTGGCTCCGCCCTTTGCCGCTATAGTAGCTTCAACTCTTCTGGGAAGGCGTCCACAAGGTTTAGGAGTGTGTCTATGGCAATGTTGGACCATTTGTGAGGTTAGGTACTGATGTTGGAGGAGAAGGCCGGGCTCGCAGTCTCCGCTCTAATTCATCCCAAAGGTGTTCTATCGGGTTGGGGTCAGGACTCTGTGCAGGTCAGTCAAGTTCCTCCACCCCTCCCCCATCCATGTCTTCATGGACCTTGCTTGGTGCACTGGTGCGCACTCATGTTGGAACAGGAAGGGGCCGTCCCCAAACTGTTCCCACAAAGTTGGGAGCATGAACTGAATTGTTTATTTTTTTATACAATACATTTCAATGCATTTTGGGAGCTTCCAAATGTCCCTTCATCAGGGCTTTGGTGATTGGTAAAGGAAATTAAGCAAAAGGACTCTTAATGGTTAGACTCATGAGAATGGGAGGAGTTTCTTGCTATCCTTTATGATAGACCCAACTTGATCTGAGTCCAGAGGTAGCTCGTTAGCTTATGGTTAGGATGCTCAACAATGCTCAGTCTTCAATGGGAGATATTGGAAGCAACTCAGAAATTAGACAGAAAATGAGACCACCAGACCAAAATCAGATTTCAGAGTCCATACAAAATGTGATGATTATGTTGATCGAACAGCCAACTTTTTTCAAGGGCAGACACAATGCCCTTCCTAAGGGCTTAAAACCTGAGGGCCTAAAAAAGGTTATTACCCAAATTCATAGCTAACTGCTGCCTGCATTCTATCAATTTAGGAAACAACCCATATCATCTAATATGATCCAATATTTTAGTTATTGCCTTGAGTCCCATTTTTTATTTCCATTGTTTTAAGCCCTGAGGAAGCATTGGCTGTTGCTTCAACATGATAATTAAACTTTCTATGAAAAGCAAAAGGGCTCTTAATGGTTAGTATCATGAGAATGGGAGGAGTTTCTTGCTTTCCTTTATGATAGACCCAACTTGATCTGAGTCCAGAGGTAGCTCATTAGCTTATGGTTAGGAAGCTCAATGATGCCCGGCCTCCAATAGGAGACACCAGAAGGAACTCAGAGAAATGGAGAGCGCCAGACCAAAATCAGATTTCAGAATCCATAAAAAGTTTAATGATTGTGTTGATTAAACAGCCAACATTTTTTGGGGGGTAGAAACAACCCTTTTCCTTCATTTCCTTTACCAATCACAAAGCCCTGATCAAAGGGCATTTGCAAGCCCTCTGAAATCTGATTTTGGTCTGGCGCTCTGCTTTTCTGTCCGATCTCTTACTGGTTAGAAGCAGCTTTTTGTAGCCAATGTAACTTAGGGATTGGAAACAGAACATTATATGAGGATGCGGTAGCTTGTCTTAGCTGTCTCTCCACATTGATAGGGGGTCTAACCCTTCGCTATTCTTTCCAAAACAATAAAAGGTTTTGGCTAGTAGACCTTTCCTCAGAGAAGCTGTTGGTTTTTTGTTTCCAGATGTCAGATGCTTCTCAAGAAATGGGTGTGCAGAACCAGACCCCAATTAAATATTTTGTCATCAAAGGGATTACGGATGTTCCCGCACTCCAGGTCTTGGTTTTCCTTTTTGTCCTTTTGATTTATCTGATTACAGTTACTGGTAACATGTCTATCCTTCTCCTGATCTGCCTGGATACTCACCTTCATACCCCAATGTATTTCTTCTTGGGCAACTTGTCCTTCCTTGATGTATTTTGCTTGACAATCACCCTTCATAAAATCCTTCTGTCTTACATGTCTGGAGACAAAACTGTTTCTTTTGCTAACTGCATGTCACAAATGTACATCTTTTCTTCCTTGACGTGCAGCGAGCTTCTCATACTGACAGCCATGAGTTATGACCGTTACGTTGCCGTCTGCAACCCCTTGCTCTACCACCTCATCATGAATAACAGTGTTTGTGTTCTCTTGGCCAGTGTTTGTTGGGTGCTGGGTTTTGTAGAAGTCATACCTCACATGTGGGCCATATCTCGATTCACATGCTACAAGTCCAGTGAGATCAATCATTACTTCTGTGACATCTTGCCCATCATGAAACTATCCTGCAGCGACACCACCCTGCTGAAGCTCATAATATTCATTGAGGGGCTGTTGCTAGTGAGCTTTACTCCTTTCCTCCTTACCTTCATCTCCTACATCTTCATCATAGCTGCTATACTAAGGATTCGTTCAAGCACAGGAAGACGCAAAGCCTTCTACACGTGTTCCTCACACCTCACCGTTGTTATTATTCTGTACGTTAGTCTTGTTTGCCAGTATTTAAGGCCAAGTTCAACTGACACCTTGGACTCCAACAAACTGTTCTCTTTGTTTAATACGGCTGCTGTCCCCGTCCTCAATCCATTTATTTACAGCTTGAAAAATAAGGATGTGAAGGCAGCAGCAAGAAGGCAATTGAAGTGGTTAATGCTGTAAGTGTTATAAGTTCATGTTGGGGTTGTAGGAACTGGAGTAGTAGCAGTTGCAGCTGTGACCAAGACTCTACCCCAAGAGTGTCCAGTTGCTATCCTTCCATTACTGTCCAGCTGTCAAGTCACTATAATGCAGAGTGCACCAAGTACATGTGCCCCTTCGTCATCAATGAAACCGCAAAGCTACTCATCCATTCACTTGTTATCTCTCGTCTTGAATATTGCAACTCCCTCCTCATTGGCCTACCTCTGGATATCCCCCCTTCAGTCTATTATGAATGCTGCTGCTAGACTCATCTACCTAACCAACCGCTCAGTGTCTGCAACCCCCCTCTGCCAATCCCTGCACTGGTTTCCATCCCCCACCCCCCTCTGCCAATCCCTCCACTGGCTTCCAATCGCCCAAAGGATAAAACTCAAAATTTTAACAACCACTTACAAAGCCATCCACAACTCTGTCCCCGGCTATATCTCCAACCTTGTCTCAAAATACCTCACGGGCAGGGCTCTCCTTACCATCTTGTCTTGAATTGTATTGTAATGTCTTCTTTATAGTGTAAAGCGTTGTGCACTGGGCCGGTGGTAGACTATTTTGTGCGCTAGGCAGGACCAGCACCCCCGGCCACCCTCCTGCAGTGCAACCCCCAATTCCTCCCCTCATGCTGCCCCATTCTCCTGCCAGCTAGCTTCCACAGGCATGTAAGCAGCTGGGAGCAATAGCCAGACTGCTATTGGCTATTTTAATTTGAAATAGCCAATAGCAGGCTGGCTATTGAGACCCCATCAACTGAACAGAGGAGCAGACCTGAAGGAGAAAGTTGTCTTTCAGTTCCGCTCCTCTGCTCAGTGAGCGGGTGCAATAGCCAGCCTGCCATTGGCTTTTACACTGCCTACTTTTACTAGTGGTAGCATCGGCCCTGGCTGCACAAACTGTTGGCACTATATAAATCAGCTATAATAATAATGATGTGCTGGATGAAAAAAATTTGTGCATGAAAGCTACAGTCCTGGTACAGCACACATGAGAGGTCAGATCACAACATCAGGCAGGGCAGTATGGGGATTTACCCATGCCTGTAGCTTTCCTGTTCAGTTCTGCAATCCAACTCATTGCATTATGGTGGATTCACAGCAGTGCAGTATGGGGGAAGAAAAGGCCAAAACTGATGGATGTGATCCAAATTACAGACTTAAGTTTCATAGAATGGATACAATGAATAGATTGCTGGGAATGCTAGAAACCTGTTTGGGCAGCTCATAGCTCCATATGAATTTGCCAAGATGTATTCAAAATCAACATTTTGTGATGGAGTTTTTGTAATATGTATAAATGTGTTTTCGGAAAAGAAACAAATATTCTTAAATAAAAGTAACAATGTAAAAAGTGCCACTTGTTGGGTTGTTTGACTAAGCCAAATTTTGTTTCCCCTAATTCATGAGTTCTATTTCAGCAACAATAGAAGAGAAACCCAGAACCTTTGGACCGGGTTCCAGTGACAGCTTATTATTCTATCACAAATGTAATGGGAAAACCTGTTTATCACTCACCTACCACGATCACTTAACTTCGGACATGTGACTTTTCTGGCCAATCAGATGTGTTTTTCGGTTTAATGCATCCGAATGGGTCTGAAAACGAATTTTCTTTACGGCAACATGGGATCCATATACAGTATATACATATAATACTAAAGCTGAGGCTCCTAAACCCGAATGGCATTCAAGATCCGAATTTCCGAATGGCATTCGGGAGCTCTTACATAGTTACATAGTATTTGAGGTTGAATAAAGACATTAGTCCATCAAGTCCAACCTATAGGATCTCATTCTTAGGAGTACCTGTACCCCTGTATATTACCTGTAAGCTCTTGAATGCCCTTCGGGTCTAGGAGCTTCAGCTTTAGTGTTAATATCTGTTTATGGTTTTCTGTGGTATTCCCAACCAATATTTGTAAACTCATCCGAAAATGACCAAAATTCGGATTTCATCTGAAACCCGAATCAAACTGAACTTCCTATCCGAATCCCGAATTCCACAATACCGAAATATCTGATTCTAACTGAACCAAATTTTTCCGCAGCTTACATGTCTGGGTAAGTTAGCATTAGGGTTTATAGAAAGCAGCTTGGCTCTATTAAAAAGTAATAAAACACATATACTGCATAAAAAATGTAAAAATCGCTAATATTTATTAAACTCATCCCTATACTAGTTACATTTTTATTCACTGTATACCTTTAGTAATGTTAATGACTTATGGAAATAATTGGTCTTGTGGGATTTAAGCCCCTTTGGAGACTTGGTCCCAGGCTTATTCGAAGATGAATAAAGTCTCTGTTCTATCAGACATAACGGGATCATTTAATGATCTGTCCCTGTAGATAGTAAGTGCAAGAAAAGCAATGAACCTCACGGGTGATCCAGTGACTGGTAAGAAGAAAATTCAGCAATGGTAAAACATAACCAACACTCCACAGAATGTTATCACCATATTCTTAGCCAGGGTAGGACCAAGAGAACACACAAATATTCTGTGTGATAGAGGGGACCCTAGCAGAGCACTGTTGAGCTGCCCATACGCCTTACAACCATCGCACGACTGGTTGTAAGGTGATTACAATTTTGTACGATCTGCCCATCTTGGACAGGCAGATCCTACTGCTGAGTGGAGGGCTTCCGATGTTTGCAGTGCTGAGCGGGCCCCGTGCGGCATTCGTCTTCCGACCACGCCACCAACCCGCCGAAAATCGTACGATTTTCGGTGGGTTTTCAAGCGTGCTCGTAGGAATAAAGTCGTACGGCTGTACAGTAGAATCGGTCACATGCCTTCCATACACCTGCCGATTATCGTACGATCGCGGGATCACCCGTGATTATCGTACGATAATCGGCAGGTGTATGGGCACCTTTGGATTGGGCGCCAAAGACTGTTGGGTTGAATCTTCACTTGCCTTAGTGAATGATACAAAGCTGTGCTGATTTCAATCATGTGTGAGCAACAGTCCTGTTTTGTTCTATATATTCCTTGCACGTATTTGAATATTCTTTGTAGATTTCCACTTTGCTTCACCTCATTGACTAAGCTAAGTAACGCTTCACTTTGCAATGTGAACATGACCTGTTCCTTTAGTTATCCAACCCTCCTGTGTCTACACAGGGCCGGATTTACTCTCTCTGCTGCCCCAAGGCCAGGCTCCTCAATACGCCCCGCTCCCCGCCAACCCCCCGCCCTTCCCATGGAGAATGGCTGACCTGCAGGCTGCATAATACAAGTGATCTCAGTGACATCGCCGAGATCACTTGTACAAAACAAGCGGTGGCTTCCCCGCTATACATTTAGCTCTGCTTGCCCAAAGCTGGGCTAATTGTAGAAAATAACTACCTGCCAGCGCCCGGAACTGCATTTCCCGAGCTAGGAATTCCACACCCCTGCTGCCCCCTCTACTCCCTGCTGCCCCGAGGCCGGGCCTTGGTTGGCCTTGTGAGAAATCCGGCCCTGTGTCTACATAGTCCAGTGATGGAATAGAAAGCCATGGTTCTATCTGTACAGCCATCATCCTCTGAAGGAACATGTAGGCTGACACTGCTGACCACTCATCTAATAATGATACTTGCTTGGCTCCGTGATTATAATGCTTTTATAACTTTTGATATTACTAACCTACAACAAGTATTAAAATCGGCACTTCTGACTTTTCTCTCATTTGGTTTTTGTGGATCATCAATGGAACGTGTTGCTAGCACATCAACATTCTTGAAATAAATCTGCTTTTTTTTGCCTCATATAATCACACAGAATGTCGGAAAGCTTCTGCAGATATGACTCTTACCAAGATGTTACTGGACACATGGCCGAGCCCTTCTTGTTTTAATGGAAATTACATTATAATAATAAAGTTCCATAAGAAAGAATATTACATTGTACACGCACACTGCCACCTGGTGGTAGCAACAATATTCACAGGTAACATATGAGAAAGGTTGTTGCACCCATGTCTGCATAAGCAGCACGCTAACACAAAATAATGAAACATTTCATGCTCATGCTTTGATGAAGGACTTGGTTGTGATACATTGCACGCTATTTGTTTAATTATTTGAGGCAAGAGAAGTTCACTTATCTCAAGAATTTTGGTGTGCTGGCAACATTTTCCATTGGTGTTCTACGCAATGCTCATTATTCAGTGGTTTCAGTACCCCCATGATGGTCTAAGCCAGTTCGGTGTCTAGCATTTTAGGAAAGAGATCAGCAATGGCATCCTGTGTTTTTCTTAGTACAGGTTTCCTTTAAAGTAGAAGTAAAGCCCAAAATGCCCATCTAAATCCACGGTCATGACACATGCTGGGCCCCAATTCTTCCCATCGGCTACAGCAGAGTGGCAGAGCTATTCTTTTGATGTCCACATCGCTGCCTGGGTGATGTGGACACTTCCCATTGCCTGTCCAGTAGACATGTGCGAAATGTGTACGAATTTTCAGAAATTCGTACATTCGGACACACCTGAACATCCAAATCCCAATGCATCCGAATGCGTCCGAATCCGAATTTCCGTTTCCAAATTTCGGATCCCGTCCGAATTTCGTTCAAAAACTAAATTGAATCGGACATGTGACTATTCTGGCCAGTCAGATGTGTTTTTCAATTTAATGCATCCGAATGGGTCTGAAGACAAATTTTCGTTACGGCAACATGGGAGCCATATACAGTATATACATATAATACTAAAGCTGAGGCTCCCAGACCCAAATGGCATTCGGGATCCGAATTTTCGAATGTCATTTGGGTCTGGGAGCCTCAGCTTTAGTAATATATGTATATGGCTCCCAGATCCAAATGGCATTCAGGAGCTCCAGAATGCAATTCGGAAATTTGGATCACGAATGCCATTCGGGTCTAGGAGATTCAGCTTTAGTATTAATATCTGTATATGGTTTTCTGTGGTATTCGCAACGAATGTTCGTAAACTCATCCGAAACTAATGAAAATTCGTATTTTGTTCGAATCCGAAACCCGAAGCGAATTGAATTTCGGATCCCAATCCCGAATTCCAAAATAACAAAACATCCGAATCAAATTTTTCCACAGCTTACATGTCTACTGTCCAGCAGCTTGGTCCTCAAAGACTTCAGGGTTTCAGAGAGGGGTTTGTTCGAATTGGACTACGGCTACGGACTACGGCTCTGAATCACCATTTTCCACTACCAGAAGTGGGACTGGTGAGGGACAGCGGACTTAGGTAAGTAAAAGAGGGGTTACAACCTTTTTTCTTAAAGAGAAAAAAGCTGGATGAGAGGGAAGAGATGGGGTCTTAGTTTGACTGAAGATCAGCTTTAACTAAAAAGCACTCAATCCACCAATATATTTTTGGTTTCTGGTGGAAAATTAGCTCACCCAGAGGAAAACTACATAAATTATTGGCAATTATGCACAGATAGAGATCTGTCAGGAATTGACCCCATTGCTGCAACACAATACAGTAATGTTCAGGCATAGACTGTAGAAATAGGGTGTAGAACTTATAGATAGAGTAGATCTGGCAGGTTATTATGAGATCAATGACAACAAATCCACCTCAATGCTACACCCTGCCCTGCTGTATACAGCTCAAACAGATGTATTGTAAAGAATAGCACCGCCATGTCCCGTGGTGTAGTAGAAAGTGATGAAAAAAAAGATAAGCTATGTAGATATAATTCATACATAAAGCTTTTCCAAAGCCTCATGCATGTAGTATGTAGTGAAAACATTGGCAAAATTAAAAGGATACAACCAGGGGTGTAATGAGAAATCACAGGGCCCCATAGCAAAATGTTGTATAGGGCCCTGTGATTTCAAGTTACGCCTCTTGTAGAGTCCACCTGAGATCCCACACAGCCCACCTGAGAGTGACCCTGCAGAGCCCACCATAGACTCTCTATGGTGGGCTCTGCAGAGTCTCAGGTGAGCTGGTCACACCCCTGCACACCTCTTACCTGTCAGCCCCGATCCGCTGTCAGCCTCCTCCACCACCGGGTCCCACCTTCTCCTCAATCGCTGGCAGGCCCCACCTCCTCCTCTGCTGCCACCGCCGGGCCCCGACCTCCCCCAGTGCAGCTGCTGGCTGTCACTGACCAGGCAGTGGCTGTATGGAGGACCGTGCCGCTGCACAGATCACTGACAGATTGTCAGTCTTCTGGACAGTGGCACGTTCCTCCTCACATCCGCCAGTGACAGCCAGTAGCCTGCGATGCCATAGCAACCCAGGTGGCCCGCACGGCATCAGGGGGACCCTGTTGTTCCTCGTCCTGGCCGGGTCCCCCTGTGCTCCGGGCCCCATAGCTAGCGGCCACCTGGGTTGCTATGGCGATAGTTTCGCCACTGGATACAACTGGAAAAACGATCCCTGTGTAGAAAAGCTAAAACTGTTTTTAGGTTTGGGATGGAGTGGGGGGGATAAAACTCCTTTAAAATTGTTTACGATCTGTGTCACTTGGCGGAGATTTACCTTCGCTTGATGTCCTGTACACACAACAGGAAGTAAGAAGAAATCTTTTCAAAGTGAGGGCAATCTCCTTTTAGACTGTTGCTACCAGAACTAGTGTCCACATTGGAAGATTTTCTCCTCTATTCCTATTCTGGTGACAACTCAAAATTTTGGATTCTCCCTTACTCTCAGTCTTGATGACAATGGTCAACAGGACAGACAGAGATGGTGAATATCCCTAGCAGAGCCACAGATGCCAATAATAACTTAATAGGGGAAAATTGAAGAACAGAATTTGTATAAACTCGGATTCTTTTTAAACTTTCATCAATATAATGCATCAATATTTCCAGCAGTGTGAAAAATATATCTTATGTATTATGGAAGCAAATAACAAGACGATGGTGGCCTATTTTGTTATCAGTGGGATTTCAAACATCCCCCATTTGCAAGTTCCAATCTTCCTTTTGGTCCTTCTCATTTATCTTAACACTCTTGGTGGTAACATGACCATTCTCCTTCTGGTTTTCCTGGACTCTCACCTCCATACACCCATGTACTTCTTCCTGGCCAACCTGTCCATCTTGGACATGTCCTCCTCTTCCATCACTCTGCATAAGGTTCTGGCAGCTTTTATAACACGGGATAAGACAGTTTCTTTCCTTGGTTGCATAGTCCAGTTCTACATGTTCTCCTCCTTAGCCTGCAATCAGCTGTTAATATTGACAGCCATGAGTTTTGACCGCTATGTGGCCATCTGCAGTCCCTTACGTTACTCCATCATCATGAACTCAAGAGTTTGCGCCCTCTTGGCCACAGTCTGCTGGGTTTTGTCTTTTCTGGAGGTGGTGCCTTATCTTGTTCTACTATTGGAATTCACTTGTTATAAATCCAACATTATCAATCACTTTTTTTGTGATCTCGTGCCCCTTCTCAGTCTTACTTGCAGCGACACGTCAGCCTTGGAGATGTTGAGCTTGATTGAAGGACTATTACTTTTAAGCCTTACACCCTTTGTCCTCACCTTCACGCCTTATGTTTTCATTATTACTGCAATAGTAAGGATCCGTACGAGCAGCGGGAGATATAAAGCCTTCTACACTTGTTCCTCACACCTTATTACCGTGGTCCTTCTCTATGGGACCTTGGTCTCTCAGTATCTAAAGCCAACCACAGAGGACAGTTTAGAGTCCAATAAATTGTTTTCACTCTTTAACACAGCTGCCGTTCCAATGTTGAACCCTCTGATATACAGCCTGAACAACAAAGATGTCAAAGCAGCATTAAAGAGGACATTGCGTGCAATAAAGTATTAGCAACATTTATTTCTATTTTGTTTTTGTTTTTTTGTTCCTCGTTGTGTCTGATGTATTTCTTCTTTGTAAAATTTGGTGTGAGCGAGGATCGGAGCTCCTACCATATTTTTACTTCTATCCTGTGCTCTGTTACCCTTTACGTCCTGTCCTGCTGACAAGGTTTCACCAGACAGAAAGTAAAATATATCAAGAACAAAGAAGAAACATGGAGCTTTTAGGGTGTCCAAACCATACATCGGGTCCATCAGATACACATAGAAGGGAATATATCAAAACTGGAGCAGACAAAATATGGTGCAGTTGTCTATGGCAACCAATCAGCTTCTCTCTCTCATTTTCAAATCTTAACTGAACAAGCTGAAGAGAGAAGCTGATTGGTTGACATGCACAACTGCTCCAGGTGTTTTCTGCTCCAGTTTTGATAAATCCTCCTCCATAGTCTTGTATAAGAGATACACTTTATTCATTAAAATCTACATGGCTCAGAAACTTGGTTACATTCATCGGCATGATACAAAAGCACATTAAAACCAAACTACCTCCCTATGGTGCCCTATGGTACACACATATGTGTATATATAATACTCATATATTTGTTTCTCCTTATTTGTCCTTAAACATATAGTAATCAGGGGTGTAGCAAAATTTTATACTGAGTATAAATACGCGGTATACTGAGACGCGGCAGCTGAAGCGGATCCCGACAATTGTGCCGGGATCGGCCCAGCTGCGTGAGTGACAGCTGGCTCTGCCTATCTACAGGCAGAGCCAGCTGTACCCGCCCCCTCCTCCGTCCGTTCCGCCAGTCAGCGCTGGCGAATCGGAGCAGGGAGGGGGGAATCCAGCCCCTCCCCTGTCACGGCAGGGAGCCGTGACAGGATTGAGAGGTGAGTGAACGCCGGTAACTGTTCGCTCACCTCCCGATCTACTGAGCCGACCTGTGACAGTCTCATTGTCACAGGTCGGCTAGAACTATGAGGTGAGTGAAAAGCACTCACCTCATAGTTCTCCTTTAAAAAGCAGTAATGGTGCCAAACCAAGAGTCCAGAGTTAATGGAATGAGAGCCAATGGTTTTAGGAATTGCAAGGGTCTCCCCTTCTTCAGGGCTAATAACACTTACGGTGTATTGTGTAATCAGTTACAATCAAGCATGTCCCTTATAATGAAACAATCATGTCTCTTTGGGTCACGTGGGGGGAGGAGGGGGGGGGGCAGAGGGGCATGGACGCTCTGCTGCACAATATTTGCAGTGTGCCTGCCGTCCCTTTTCAGGGGCAGAGTGGCATGGACGCTCTGCTGCACAATATTTGCAGTGTGCCTGCCGTCCCTTTTCTGGCCAGGGCAGTCCAGGTTGCTTAGAGCCTGGCGGGGACATGTGTAAGGGCCACATCTCTCCACCCAGCTCTTAGAAGCCTGGGATAATGATACTGTGGCTTGCAGAACCACTAAGGTAGGCAGGAGAGCTCGCTATATCTGACGATTCCATCAGAGGGCAGGAGAAGCCCTGAGAATGGAATATTATTGATTCACACGCCGAAAAATCATTTGATTTTCTCAAATTGTAACTGTTATTCTTTGAACAGAAATGTTGTAACTCAACCTAAAATGAATGATTAAACTGTATTTGTCAGTTCAACTGATCTGATTATTTTCAAATGACCTAATATCGTGGATGGTAATAATGGTAATAATGTGGATAATATGGATGGTATTAATTATATATTTGTTTACATTTTTAATTAAATTATTTTGCGGAAATTATTTAGTACTAAAATTGGAGGTGAGAATCCTCATGTTGTTTACCCAGTTACATTTATTTCTTTTTAGATGTACTCAGAATTGTCATACCATATATTGAATATTTTCTTTTCTGATGCAGCACACATAAACTGTTTTGTTCAATGTGATCAAAATTACAATTCAAGTTATGATCCGTTATCTTTAGTCCTCATTCACACTGTAATCTGGCTATTGCACCCGCCCACTGCCTGCTGTCAATCAGCATGGGGCGACCTGATAGAGAACTTTCTCCTTCAGGCCCTTCCTCTGCTAATTTTGACGGTAACGCCTCATTCACACTGTAATCGGCCGGCATGTACAGCTCCGTGCTGCGTGCAGGACCGTATCGGGCAGCTCCCAGGAAGGACAGGTGCTGCGTGTGATAAGTGCACAGCCCCTGTCCTTCTCTATGGGAATACGCGGCCGTACACCCCTCTACACTCACCCGCCCCGCATGTCCGTACGGGTGCAGGTGAGCGTACTCGTAGGATGACAGAATGGATCCTGTCTGCGTCCGAGCCCGGAAACACGCACCCCTACGGACCTGTACTTGAGGTGAGCATAGGGGGCGTATGGCCGCGTAGTCCCATAGAGAAGGACGGGGGCTGCGTACTAATCACACGCAGCACCTGTCCTTCCCGGGAGCTGCTTGATCCGGCCCTGCGCGCAGCACGGAGCTGTACGTGCCGGCCGATTCCAGTGGGAATGAGGCGTTACCGTCAAAATTAGCAGAGGAAGGGCCTGAAGGAGAAAGTTCTCTATCAGGTCGCCCCATGCTGATTGACAGCAGGCAGTGGGCGGGTGCAATAGCCAGATTGCTATTGGCTATTGCATTTTACAATATCCAATAGCAGGCTGAGTATGGCTCCCAGCCTGCAATGAAGAGGAGGCAGGGGGGCGGGGCAGAGGAGCCGCGGCCGGACCAGGAGAGCGACGCATCGGCTGGACATCAGCGGAGGTACGGGGGCAGCTATTAATGTAGCGGTCTGTGTCCCCGCTGCCTCCGCCAACACAGGCGCGGAGAGCAGCGGGGATTTGAAGGGACACAGGCCGCTGCAGCCACAGTTAATTATATATTTGTTTACATTTTTAATTAAATTATTTTGCGGAAATTATTTAGTACTAAAATTGGAGGTGAGAATCCTCATGTTGTTTACCCAGTTACATTTATTTCTTTTTAGATGTACTCAGAATTGTCATACCATATATTGAATATTTTCTTTTCTGATGCAGCACACATAAACTGTTTTGTTCAATGTGATCAAAATTACAATTCAAGTTATGATCCGTTATCTTTAGTCCTCATTCACACTGTAATCTGGCTATTGCACCCGCCCACTGCCTGCTGTCAATCAGCATGGGGCGACCTGATAGAGAACTTTCTCCTTCAGGCCCTTCCTCTGCTAATTTTGACGGTAACGCCTCATTCACACTGTAATCGGCCGGCATGTACAGCTCCGTGCTGCGTGCAGGACCGTATCGGGCAGCTCCCAGGAAGGACAGGTGCTGCGTGTGATAAGTGCACAGCCCCTGTCCTTCTCTATGGGAATACGCGGCCGTACACCCCTCTACACTCACCCGCCCCGCATGTCCGTACGGGTGCAGGTGAGCGTACTCGTAGGATGACAGAATGGATCCTGTCTGCGTCCGAGCCCGGAAACACGCACCCCTACGGACCTGTACTTGAGGTGAGCATAGGGGGCGTATGGCCGCGTAGTCCCATAGAGAAGGACGGGGGCTGCGTACTAATCACACGCAGCACCTGTCCTTCCCGGGAGCTGCTTGATCCGGCCCTGCGCGCAGCACGGAGCTGTACGTGCCGGCCGATTCCAGTGGGAATGAGGCGTTACCGTCAAAATTAGCAGAGGAAGGGCCTGAAGGAGAAAGTTCTCTATCAGGTCGCCCCATGCTGATTGACAGCAGGCAGTGGGCGGGTGCAATAGCCAGATTGCTATTGGCTATTGCATTTTACAATATCCAATAGCAGGCTGAGTATGGCTCCCAGCCTGCAATGAAGAGGAGGCAGGGGGGCGGGGCAGAGGAGCCGCGGCCGGACCAGGAGAGCGACGCATCGGCTGGACATCAGCGGAGGTACGGGGGCAGCTATTAATGTAGCGGTCTGTGTCCCCGCTGCCTCCGCCAACACAGGCGCGGAGAGCAGCGGGGATTTGAAGGGACACAGGCCGCTGCAGCCACAGTTCTCCTAAATGTACCGGCAGCTGCCGATACATTTAGGAGAACTGTAGACCTGGTTCGTAAGTATGGATTGTCCGTAAGTCGGACGTCCGTAACCCGGGGACTGCCTGTAGTCTGCATTACTTATCTCTGTGCTCGTTACAGGTTCAATGAATCAGGAACCCAGAGAATTAACATGACAGCCAAGAAACTGGCATTTTTAGAAGGAGAGGTCAGCTATGGCTGCCTATGAACACACCTCCCATGAAAGGTTTCCTTTAATTCTACATATCTAAACTGCGAACAGATATTCTATTTGATAAAGAACAAGAGAGACAGCGCCTTCGCCTCGTGTGTTGTCGTTTATTAGACCGAGATATATAGGTGTAATAAAATCTAGTCACATACACATACATAAGATGTTCAAATGCAGTGTATAAATCAAGCCAAGAACCTCCAAGGAAAAGTAGCTGACACATTTCAGTGCAATCCCCCTTCCTCATAGCTCCTTCCGAGGATATTTCCCAATAGTCTTTTGGATGGCTGCCTCGCATAGCATGGAAAGATTTGAAGATTTCTGATGGAAAAGGGATGAAGATTTGCCAAGTGCTAGTTTTGCGTTCCTTGGTGTTAGATATTCTATTTGCACAGAGCAGTGTAACTAGATACACTATACAGCCGGAGTTTGAGGACATCTGACCATCACACATATACGAGCTTCATTGACATCCTAGTCCAAAACCATGGACATTAATATGGAGTTGGGCCCCCTTTGAGCTGTAACAGCCTCCACTCTTCTGAGAAGGCTTTCCACAAGATTTGAATGTTGTCTGTGGGAATTTCGTGCCCATTAGGCCAAAAGAACTTTAGTGAGGTCACCTCCTGATGTTGGATGAGAAGACCTGGCTCACAATCATCATCCCAGTTCATCCCAAAGGTGTTCAGTAGGGTTGAGGTCAGGGCTCTGAGGACGCTCAAGTTCCTATACACCAAACTCATCAAACCATGTCTTTATGGCTTTGTACACAGACGTACGGTCATGGTG